AATATCTTATATCTGATGGAGAGGTGCAATTAATTGATGAAGAATTTGATGATTATGACAACTTGATGATGATGATTAGTTTAATAATAAATTTATATTTTCATATTTCGGAATTTGTAATGATATAATTTGAATTTTTTTAAAAAAAGGTTACTTAATTAAAAAAATTTTTATTGATTTTTTTTGAGGTATAAATCTTTTTGCACCGGACCATGTATAAAAATAAATATAAAAAAAATGGTTATCTTTGCAAAGTAAAATAATAATCTACAGCTACTCAATAATGATTAAAATATCCGACATTAAATCGATATTGTTGATCGGATTGATTAAAAAAAGAAAATATTAAAGTACAGAATGAGCTTAAATTTAATGGATTTATAATAAATGAACTTATTAGCAAATGACCATTCTTCTAATGCTGTATATTCTTCTCAAAGAATATTTTTTAAAAAAAAGAAAGAATGCTTTCTTTGAAATCAACAAATACAACCGAAATTATTTTGGTGAAATTTTGAAAACCTCATATTCTTTAGCTGAAAATAAAAATTTTTCAGAAGCTTTGTAATGAGGTGATATAAATTCACTAGAACGAATTGGTTTAGGATACTCGCCACTCTTCGAGCAATAACATCTTTTCTCAGTTCTCAAATTGCCTATTAAGCGTAAAGCACCGCCAAAACCCAACGTTGATTCACTAGCAAAATTACTAATTGAAGAATAAGCATTATTTGCTCTACTTAAAATGGAATTTTTCATAATTACAGTCTTTAATGAAAATAAAAAAATTTTTTTGGTCTTTTTATAGTGATTATTATTATTATTTTCCCACACGAGAGGATTGTACCCTCCCAGAATTTCTCCAGTACCCTCAACTTCCAAAATAATAATTGTTTTAGATACTTCATCACAAATATTAAAAATAGTATTAACGTCAAACCCATCTCTAGATCCTCTAACAAGCAATTTAAATTCATATGGATTGTTCTCAATATATGGAATTTCTTTTTTATCAATCCATGATGAAATTTCTAGTGCATGTTCATTAGTGATAATATTAGAAGGCAGACTAATTCTGTTGGAAGTGTTGTATTTAAAATATTTCGTGGTGGTAATATGATCGAAGAAATTGGCTTGGTTGGTGTAATAAATTTTATATTGATATCTGAAAAGAGCTGATGTCCAAGAAGTTGTTGATATGGATAAATCTTTTCTATAACATCTTCATTGGAAAAACTGAAAAATCTAATGTGTGGGAGGCATCCTTTCAAAGTTTCCTTTAAAGTTAAGAAATTATCGCTCGTCCATTTATCGAGATTAGTAGGTAAAGTGGGATTTTTTTCTTTCCCCATTCAATTACATATTCCCAAATCTTTCCTTCATATAATTGTAAGTCATCCTGTTTAAGAATAGAAATTAATGAATCTTCAGGGAGAGAATGAAAGTTTTCAGACTCAAAGATAGTATTAGGATACTTGGTAACAAAATTATTACAAAAGTTTCGAAGAATTTTAAAGTTTTTGACTTGATAACTTGTTCGATAAATTTGAGCAAATTTTAGCCTTAACCAAGGAGCTCAATTGTCAATAAGATGAGATTGGAGATATTCAATTAATTCATCTAGTTCAAGTTCATTAGATGCAATCAAAAGATCAAAGATAACTGAATTTTCCAATTTTTCTAACGAAAATTTTCCACTATAAATATATCTAAATGATATATGAAATTCATTATTATAAAATAATGATCAAATTAATTTAAATAATTTATTATCATTGTGAACTTACTTGATTATTACATTAAATACTTTAACAGAAATATTTGGTAACTTTAATACTTCGACATGATTTTCATTGAAAGTAATTTCATCGAATTTCTTTTTAAAGTAAGGGCTACGGGATTTTAAAATAATTGAATGAACCTTATAAATATTGCCAAGAGTGACTTCTTCTTCACCAACAAGTTCAATCGAAACATCACAATTAACACCACTTTCAAGAAGTTGAGTAAGGTCGTTTGATAGACGGTCATAAAATTGAGTAGTCATTTTTTCATAAGTACAGAATAAAAAATTTCATTTGTGTATCAATATCATTAAATTATCCAATTATTTATTGAGAACACGAATTATGTACTTGCTAACCTTACACGGTAATGATGTATACATAATCTTATATGTAACTTGTTAACCTTACACAGTAACGATATAAGCATACTTATATACTCTTTAGACTTTTTAGGATTATATATGTACATAAGTGAATCTTTTACTATACGTTTAAAATCTAACTTTCATATAAAGTATATACTGTTACTGTATATGGGTATTTGATAGTATTTTAAATATTATTATTAAAACCTAACTCACCCACGGTAATTTATATTATCTTTTTATTTGTAACAAGGATTTAGGTTAGGGCGTTTTATTAGAAAGTATTTTTATATATAATCCATAGAATTATATGCTGATGACAATATTATTTTAGATTCTCATGGAGTGACACTTACTAGCATTCATCTCTCATTTCATGATTATTTATAATTAATTTAATTTAATTTGTTTTGACTTTGGATTTTTTTTTAATTAGGCGATGGTGATTATGATAATTTGGATATATCTAATTATAATTTACTTTATTAGCATTCTACTTATTAAATTATAAAGCATTTAGTATAGATTAATTAAATTTTTTTTTATTAAAAAAAAAAAACACGCTTTGATTTGAGAAAAACACTTACACTATACGTCTTTTCCTGAGTAGGAAAAATCGCATTCTTTTCCTTGAAAAGAAAATATGAAATAATATTGCAAGTCATTATTTTAAAAAAATTAGCATTTTTTTTTTGTTTTTATACAAGAAATTAACTTGACGTGATTTTATATTTGTTTAACTTGAAAATTCCTAAAGTTACCAATTTCGGTTATGCAGACCGATTGATAAATATAATTAAGGCAAGGTATAGTTAATTACCTTTGTCATTTAAACCTATATTCTGGTAATCTTGGTTACTCAATTCTGCATATTAATTCTGAAACGTAAATTCCGTACTTATCATTTTTTTTATAAAAAAATAAAACTTCTACCTTACATACTATAAACGAACAGAAAATGTTTCTCGTGTGCCAAGAATGCAATCAAGAATGTAATGAAAGATATGAATATGATGATCATTGGTGCGAAGTGTGCAACCCAATGCATTTCAAAAATGATTTTGATAAATGGACAAGTGGAAATGACACAATAGATAAATTTATTCAACATATCAACTAAATGCTGATAATAGAATGGATAGCTTATAATAGATTCCAGGATATTAAACAAATAGTAAAAGGTGGTTATGGTACTATTAATTATGTTAACTGGATGTTAAAAATTGGGTTATTGAAGATCGACAATGGAAAAGGGTAGGTCAATGTAAAGTGCATTAAAAAAGTTTGATGATATTGTAAATATAAATGAAGATTTTTAAATGTGGTATAATAATATTTTAAATTAATAATTAATTTGAAATATATTATAATTTAAAGAATATGTCATTTGGATGGCATTTCTATCGAGAACAAATGACTTTGATACCCCATCAGTTTATTTTATGGAACGAATATATGATGGTTTTACAATATTTCGACATTAGTCTTAGAAATGATTTAAATAATAATTTTAATTATATCGATTGGTCACTTAACTTAGATCATTTATCGAAATTATCCAAAGAATTTTCAAAAATTCATAAATTAGATATAGTTCACCTTACATCCGGAATATTTTAAAATTTGAGTCTGATTCAGATGTGTACATATCAGATTTTGGATTGAGTAAATTAATTACAGAAAAAATAAAAATTTCCCAAAAGAATACCATTTCTGGAGTATAGCTCCTGAAGTTTTAAGTGGGGAAGAATATACAAAAGCTGCTGATGTCTATTCATTTGCATTTGTTGCTTATGAAATAATCATTAATGTTGTACTGCATGATAAAGATTTGTCTTTTAAAATATGTAATGGTATTCGAACAAAAAATTCCATTTCACACACCTAAATTAACTACACAAATAATTATGAGATGTCGAGATGCTTGAATTATACATCGACCCACTTTTGCTGTACATAATTCGCAACTGTCAGTAAGCAGGTTTAGATCGACTGATTGCCTGATCTTGCTATGTTGCGAGGATAAAAGTGTTGTTAGTAAGCAGGTTTAGATCAACTAATTGTCTGTTCTTACTACGTCGCGAGGACAAAAGTATAGCAAGTAAAATGTTGCGTCACGAAATAAAGTTCAAGACTGATTGGCGAAACTTTCCACCTCATTCTGTACAGACCTTGACAATATGTTACACATAAGTAAAAAATTTCAGACAAATTTGCCTGCAATTGCTTACCGTTTAAGGGATAAGTATCCTCAAGAATTTATTATAAAGATTCTCGAAACTGCCAATATAAATTTTAGAAATATTTATCTAGATTTATATTCCACAAATCCATTTGATACATTTTCAGCAATTTTTATTTAAAAAGATTATTGAATTGACTTTATATAATTTGCTTCTGAACAATATTAATAATGATGATTTTCATTTGGCTTCGGAAAAAGATTGATGCAAATAAATTATTATTAAATTATTCAATTATTTTAAACTAATACTAATACAAAATTATCAAATATGTTCTACCTTTCAACTTGTAGGACCATTATAAGACATAAATCAGTCTAGGTTATTAAAAAGCGAAAAAAATTTGCTTGGTAGTTACATTGGTTTTTTATTTTTAATTAAAAAAAAAATCTTTGCCATTTTTTTAATCGGCTAAAAAAATATCCTATTTGGTATCGACTTGGCCGATTCTCAAAAAATCTGCCGACCAAGTCGACTAAATCGGCTAAGTCCTTTCGGCATAGAACACTATTGGTAACACTACATTAGAGTAGTTACACATTGATCATAAACATAAATATTACATAAATGATACTTATTTCTATATTTTCTTGGCAAAAAAAAAAATGGCGGCAAATAAAATTCCTACAGAAATAGTAATTAAAATTTTAAATAATGTTCAATCTTCTCGGGATTTACACTCATCATTATTAGTTAACCGAATCTGGTGTAAAGTTACTATACCCATACTTTGGGAATTACCTTTTGGTCAAGATTGTAGTGCCGATAATAAGCAGAAGTTGAGAAAGAAAGCATTATGTATTCGAACTTATATATCGTGTATGGATACTCAAGCTAGAACTTTACTCGCGCAAAATGGATTTTATTTATTATCGTCACCACCTCAGGCTACTTTTGATTATCCATCATTTACTCATAAATTTATAATTAATAATTTAGTATATTTTCTTTCCAAATATTCATCTAAAAAAAGTCTTAGTCGACAAATATTATTTCTTGAGATATTCAAATTAATAATGAATCGTTGTAAATTCGTAGATTCTTTCAAAATAACGAAAGTTCCCATGAATAAGCCTCTACGTTATAGTGATTTAATTGGTTCAATTCTCAAATTGCCTGGTGTCTCAAAAGTATTTAGAAAATTAGAAAGTTTTACTTCGACAATAAGAAGAGATCTTGGTCTTATTGGACTATATGAATCATTAACATTAATTTGTGATAACATTTTAAATATGGATTTATATTTTGATTCATTTCCTCAAGATCAATTAACAAAACTTATTAGTGTTCAAAAACGGTTAGAAAATTTATCAATTGTTGTTGGATTTTATAGCCAATTTCCTAACTCTTTATTTTTTGAGGCTATCATTAGTCAAAAAGAAACGTTGAAAAGTCTTCGTTTAGAATCAGTAAATTTTTTTCATTTCAAGGGAAATTCGGCCTCAATTGGACAATTTATTTCACTTCAAGATCTTTACATTAAAAATTGTTCTGAATTATATGACTCGAAATATTTATTCTTGGCTTCATCATTTCCTCATTTAATTAGTTTTCGTTTTATTTATTCGGTTTATTTATACGATGAGTATCCACAAGAATTTATTGTAAAAATTCTCGAAACGGCCAATGAAAATTTAAAAAATATTTGTCTAGATTTATTTACCGGAATTGCATTTGATGTATTTTCGGCAATTTTAATTTATTGTACAAAGATTACCGAATTATCTTTACGGAATTTAAGTTTTGATCAAGTATTAGCAATATTTAATAATAATTTTAATGAATTAAGGATATTTTCATTTGGTTGTGGAGAAGAAGTGGATGCTAATGAATTATTATGCCAAATGGCCGAAAATGTACCAGAATCACTTGAAACCATTGAAATTAAAATACGGATATTTAGTGCTGATAGTTTTAGAAAATTCATTGAAGGGTGGTGTTGTAAAGGAGGAGGAGGAAGTAAAAAGATTATTGTAAGACGTACTTCGTTCTTATTTGAATTAAGTGAAGAACACTTTAAAGTTACTGAAGAATATGGAGTGGATTTCAAATTGATGTAGAAAAAATCTGAAATATTTTCATGTTGAATAATGTATCTGATGTTGTTCTTCTCATATGAATATTTTGTTTATAAGAAAATAGATTAGTATTTGATTTCATCCTTTTAAATATATTTCGAATTTAGAATTAAAAAAATTATTCTAAGTTTTAGCAGTTGAAAACCCAGAATCACAGATTTGTAATAAAAATTACTCAAATATCTAAAGAGTAATTTTTTTAAAAAATAATTTAGATCGAAATATATAAACATAAGAAATAAAAAGGAATGCAAAGGATTTCAAATAATATTTTATTGATTGCTCACTCATCAGAATAAATAAAAATTAATTTTTATTTTCGCGCGATGTGATATTCGATTTTCAATTCGAATAAATACTTATTATTTTTTAGCGGTGTAGCTTTAATAATTAAAAACTAATTTGTGAGTTTAACGTTCTATAATTCCGAAAAAAAAGAAAACTGCTGTCCAAAATGTCATGGTATTTACTCTAACGAAATAAAGCGCATCTGAAACTTTCAGCCAAAATTTGTTGAAAAAAAAAATCGAAAATGAATTTATTATTTTTCCTTTAATGATTCATAATTTCGTTTTTTATAAAATTAGTAAAGGAAATGATTGGATACTAATCAATAAAAAGCTTATTGGCATAAAAATAAATTTTAATTTTCTTACGTGGTATTCTTTTAATAGATAAAACGTAAATTTATATAATTTCCTTTATTTCTTTCCAAAATTCCATAAAAAAAATCGGATTTATTACATCCAAGAAAAGCTTAGTTGGATAATATTTAAAAATGAACAAGGGTTCTGGGAATATACTCAGAATACTTTTTGCGCAAGAAATCATTTGGGTTTAATCCAAGCTTCAGTGACGAACCTCATCTATCTCCATATCAACTATATCAACTATATGGTGTTGTATTGCTCAAAATTATTTGACCTAATATTAAATTCTACAAGAAATAGATAGGTTAAACTACTGTAAATCCATTCATAAATTACTAATTACGCTTTCCAATAATGTGATGTAGATGAGGAAAATAAAAATTTGAAATCACAAAAGTACCCAAGACATACCCACCATCACAAGAAAATGAATATCCAATTTCCAATATTTGATACCACTCTTGCTTTTATATAACCAGCATGTTCACCATCAGATGGCCAGGACCATTCTGACCAATTTGATATACCAGATATTGTCTTTCCTTTATTATTATATACAAATAATTTTTTTTTTAAATCCAATGGAATCTTGCTCCAATAAACTTTTATTAATAAATTAGGTATAAATTTTAAAGATACATATAATTTATTTTGCATTTATTGAAACTGACTAAAAATAACATTTTATGGTCTGACTCATCATTGCCTAAGTGTAACCTCAGGAACTGATG